GTTGCTGTTTCTGAGAGCGAATTATCAGTGTTATTAACCTGTATCAATTTACCTGAAGTTGAATATTTGACAGTGGCAACTTTTATCTCTGTCAGTTTAAAAGTGAGGTTCTTCTTTCATTCTAGAAATGACACACTCACCTCAGTCCACACACTGCCCAAGCATTTCCTCCATAAATGGGTGGAAACAAGCTCAGGGTCTGCCTTGATGGTAGAACTCCCGGGAAGCAAGGCCCCAGCAAGCCCACGTTGGGGTCCGGCCGGCACTGGGCGCTGAGCTACTCTCGAGGCACAGAGGTGCAGCAGGGTCTTGTCCGGCAGCCTCTCACAGTCTGGGGCCCTGAAACCAGTCAGTAAAAAGCATTATAAGTTTTACAAAAGGGGTGTGCTCAGAGCAAAGCAGAGGGACATCTGCACCAACTTTATCACATCTGGGTTTGTTTGAAATTCAAAATACTGTGCATCAATAGGAGAGAACTCCCATTTTTAAAACTCATTTAGCAATTCCTTTTATAAATCATAGTCCATTTGTAAATCATAGTCCATTTGTAAATACCTTCCTAATTCATTTCTTTAGAAAATGTAAAATTTCTTAAAATAGAGCACAACTATACCGTATTTCTGCCTTTGAAATCAGTAAATATTTTTGAGATCTTACAGCATTTGTTTCTACTTTGTTAAAATTTGTATGAATTTAGAGTTGGATTTTATGTATTTGATCTTTCTTTTGTGTAGACCCTTGGAAGTACATAGGTTCATTTTCTGTTGCAATAGAAAACTTAATGTCTATAATGTACAACTCCCCTAAATTACACTGTAAAAAGGAAAAGGCAGGCTTAATACTGTATCTGTTTTTCATAAGAAAGTAAACCTTTTAATCTGTGTTTAGAATATTCTCACAAGGAATGATTTTTGTGCCATTGTATTTAAATTCTCAGTTTTTATATTTAGAAAACTGTACATAAATTCATCAGGTTATATTCAAGGAAGTCTTAAAGAGCAATTCATGAGTGAGAAATATAGCTAACCACTTCTAAAAGTTCTTTCTTTTTTTTCAAATGCCATGTGTTGGAGCCACAGTTATAATATATGCTCCCTGTGAAATGTCAATTAACAAATTCCCAGTATATTTAAAGGTTTTTAAAAATGTCACACTGAAGTCAGGGATGTTATATTTGGAGGAATTTTGCCATAAAGTAACGCATATAGTGGGTAGTTCAGGTCAGTGGTGAAGGCGTTGCAGGAAATCTCATTTTGCCTCCAGAAGTCTGAGAGCTCTGAGTCCAGGTCAAGACTGGCAATATCAGTTCCCAAGCAGTGGCCTGCTGCCTCGTGGCAGGAAAACTGAACCCTTTTTAATCCTCGGCCACCTTTCCCTGAGAGAACCCTACGAATTAGCATTGAAGGACAGAGTGCAATAGCAGAAAGGGCAGGTTTTCATGCTGCTTTTAATACCAGAAGGGCTGAGCTTCCACATCAACTATGGGGTATGTTCTGAGAGAGAGAAGGAAATAGCCCATGGCACCAGGTGTTACTGCTGGATATGGCTGGAGACAGTGCGGCTAAGAGCTCTGCTCCGCAGGTGACCTGGAGCCCTTCTTTTTCAGATCCTTGAGGAAACCGGGTAGGGACAGATATGGCTGATGTTTGAGTTTAAAGCTAAGAAGATTTATGCCTAATGTTTCACAGTTTCCGTTGTAAAATAAGTTGTACCCAACTCAAACGTAATAACTGACACCTTTAACAAAAGTCAGATTAGCAGAAAGAAGAAAAGCACAACAGATTTATTTAACCAAACTTTTACATCACATAGGAACCTTCAGAAATGAGTACCCAGAGACTCACAGAATACTAGTACAGAAATATAGTTGGAGAGCCAAAGAACGTAGTCTAATGGTAATAAACTCAGGAAAACTCACCAAGGCCTGTGTTCAGATTCTTCTTGATGAAGTGGCTGACTCTTAGATGGCCAAGAAGTGACTGATGATGGAAGAGAAATTAGGAAATACTTCATGGCGAATGAAAATGAAGGTGCAGCACAGTAAATATGCAGTTAAAGCAGTACTTAGAGGCAAATGTATACCTTCAGGTGCCGGTGTTACAAAAAAGGGAAGATCTCAAACTGATGAATTAAACTTCTACCTTCACACTGTGTGGGGCAAAGAAGATCATTGAATGAAACTTCTCCCTTAACATTGTGTGGGGCAAAGAGAAAGAAGGGGCAAAAAATCAAAAAGGTCTGAGGTGGCATCTGAGAAGGTTTAGACAAATTGGCCCTAGTTAAGAGCAGCTTCTCACTGTAACTAGACAAATAGGACAGGTAATAAAGTTGCTCTCAGCTGCCATTTACTTTCTCAAGAAGGTGGGAGTTGAAGTCACTTGCATTGTACAGGAAAATGAAACCCTGAGGATTTGAAGAAAATGGGAAATTGAGACAGTTTTCATATAGGGTGATTGAAATAGTCCTGTGTACAACTGACTAGAGAAAATCCTTAAAGCTTTCCCTCTCGTTGAGGCTTTATTTGAGGCTGGTGAACATCTTTCAGCCGCATTTGGCTTTTTAGGTGAAGGCACAGAAAAGACAGGTGTTTGTTCGCGTTTGTAGATGGCTTGGCTTTCTGCCCGGTGGGTGAGATGGAATGAGAGAAGAGCAGGGATATTTAGGATTTTGAAATGATAGGCTGTGGTCAATAAAGTGGGTAAGGAAAACACCAAAGGAGAGAAAGCAATGAATGGACAGCGAGTACCAGCAGAAGGGTCTGCTATCCAGGTCATCCCCATGAGGGCAAAGAAGTCACTGTTTACTCCAAAATCTTTGTTTGTTGTAGCCGCTGGAATAGTACCTGGCACATAGTAGGCAGCTGGGTGGTAATTTAATAAGGAAGCTGAAACACTGGAAGTTGTGGTCAGACTGAATGACAGGGGAGGTAATTATGCACTGTGGGTAATATATGTCTGACACGTGCATACTACACTTAGTTTCTCAGTAACTAGTAGCTTTTACTCCAGTAGTCTTTGGGCTTTTATGAGAACAACGTATTTTCCTTAGAAATAAAGTTTTCTACAGCCATTTTTCTACAAATGGCTGAGTTGACCTTTTCCAAGTGAATACCATTTAAGGCCACTGGAGCAATTACAGCTTTTAGATTTGGCTTTATATGGCAAAGCACACAAACGAAACACTAGTGCCAATAATCTTTCCATATTCACTTAGTCTGGTCCTTAAAGGCAAAGCTCAGGGTGCTTATTTCGGCTGCCGTCATTTGCTGTATGTGTTATGCTTATCGCCAGTGTGGACAGTGTTATATTTACACTGTTGAATCACCTCTCTGAAGTGCACTGACCTTTCGGTAGGCTTTGAAAGGCCTCTTTTGCTTTTGGTCTAGGACCTAAGCCTCATTTCAAAAATAGAGATGGTTATTTACCAGAGGAAAAGTTTACAGAAGGAGGCTATAATGGTATGAAAAAATTAATTTTTAAACAGTGCCAGTATTTTTACATCTAGTTAAATGAACCCAAAGGTAATTTTGATTTTGAAATATTGTCCCACGTGTCTATTGTGAGATGACTTGCGTGCCTTTCGGATGGCCCTTCCCGGGACTTGTTTCTGTGCTCCTACACCACAGTACAATTACTTGTCCAGAGTAGATGCTTGTTAAATCTACATCCTGATGGCTCTTTAGTAATAAGCAGTCCTCTGAAAGGTCCTCCCCTCTCCTGGACCGTCTTCTTTGCCTGGCAAATGTCTTTTATTGTTTTAGGTCACATGTCACCTCTAGAAATGTTCCCAACTCTTAAAAGCCTCTGACCTTTGGGTGTTTCATGCTTACTTTCTACTGTAATGTCATACACTTGTTTCTTGTTCTTCACTCTTATCTTTGAAGGAGCAGAAACATCAGCATTCCTTTGTAGTGCCTTTCTCTCTCCCTCTCTCTCTTCTTCTCTACCTCTCTCCCTCTCTCCCTACTGCTCTGCCTGGCCCATAATGTGATTCTCTTATACCTGTATAGATACATAATATATGTACTTATTTATAGTGTAAAATGTTCACCAAGATGCTAGAAATGGCCATATTTGGGGGATAGTGTTTCTGTTAACTTTTTTCTATAAGCATCTTTTCCCATTATTTAAATGATTTAAATTTTGTTTATTTATTTATTTTTATTTTAAAATTAAAAGGAGGAAAATATTAACAGACAGACAACATTTTATAAAATAGCAAAGGAACAGTTAAGACAGTACGAAGTTACAGACAAAGTGGTAGGGAATTAACAATGCTTGTTGTATTACATATTGATATCTTCAAAGTGGTTTCTCATGAAAACATATATAGACATGCAATGCTTATCAACCAAAGACTCATTGATAAGTTTTCTGTTTAATTCTGTTCATTTCATTTAATAATTTTATTTAATTTGGTTTTTTGTTTGTTTGTTTGTTTTTTCTTCTGGTACCAGGAATTGAACTCACGACCTTGCGCTTGCCAGGCAGGTGCTGTGCCAATGAGCTAAATACCCAGCCCCAATAATTTCATTTAAATTATTTAAATTTTCTGATTCTATGTTAGATGGGGTAGCTCTTTCCTAGTTTTTAAAATAGATGGTTTCTGAAAGAAACAATTAAGAGAAATAAGTGTTTCAACACCATTTAGAACCATCCAGACCCGAATCATGAGGTTCCAGTCTATGCCTCGCTAGCAGACCTTAGTGATTCAGGAAAGCAGGTTTACCTGGCCCAGGTTGACTGCAGCTGTTCTGCATCCAGTCTCTTAATCCAAGCCTCCTCCGCCACAAAGTGGCTCCCAGGGTTGCCGCAGCCAGGAGACAGACATGAAAGCAAGCAGCCAGCTGTCACCTGTCTCAGCATATATCACTTGCCTTGTCCCAAGGCCCCAGGCTTATTGAGAACTAACTGGGAAATGCATGAGGGTACCTGGAATCCAGTGTGTGGTAAGCGCCTATTGTCTCTGCCAACATGCCTGTAACTCTTTTCCTTTTTCAGTTACTGTAATGAATGCATGTTGGATCCAAACTGTGGTTTCTGCTACAAGATGAACGAATCAGCCGTCATTGACTCCTCCTGTGTTCCAGTGAATAAAGCATCTACCACCGAGGCAGCCTGGGGCAGGTATGCACTTCCCACTTACTGTAACCATACACAGTAAAATGTCAGACAAGGTTAAGCTGAAGTTGTCAATGTCTGCGCAAGTAGGAGTTCTTTAAAGCAGGCCTCATTGCTACCTCACTTCACAGCACGTAGTGATCCGTACAGGTGTAGAGCATCACAGCTGTGTATTTCACAAACTCCAAAAAGAGCACACTCCAGCCTGGACTACTGCAGATCCACATTCCAGACCCTGCTCTACCTGATAAGCTACAGGAGTTTGGATCTTAAATTTTAGGCAGGTGCTCCCAGATACTGCCACTACAGGCTCCCCTAGTGCGTTTTACTTGGCTGTGCTGTAATTTCCAAATTGTAGTTTTCTGAGCTCAAAGACAATTTTAAAGTCAAAATGAATTAATGTCATTTTAAATTCTTTCATGTACTTAATTTTTCATAGAGTACTTTCCTGAGGTTCAGTGAAATTAAGCAAAATAAGGATAAAAGTTGATTAAGCTTTGGCGCGTAACAATTTGTGTCTTCATTTCCCGTGAAAATGAAAATATCTTTCATCCTGTCAACCTCATGGTACTAATAAAGGCAATGAAACCTGTAATAAAGTATAAAGTGTTAGTATTAACTATTATCCAGTTGTCATTCATTGTATCAGAGAAGCACTTGAGAAGTAAAAGTTTTATGATATTTGAAGAAAAATCCAAACTATGTTTTAAATATGCTAGTTAGAAATAAATGTTTTTAAAATGAATACTTAAAAAAACTTCTTCTAAAAAACCACCAGAGTATAATTTTCATTAATCAGACTTACTAGTGGGTTAATTGATTAAATATTGAATATTGAACACTGTTTAACAATACCAAGTGTGTATAGTTTCCCATATTTTATAAATTAATTTATAAGCAGAAATTTTTACTAATAAAAGTAAGGAGCCCTTATTTGTCCACATCAGTAGGGTTTGGGGGTTTTTTTTGAGGGGAGGGTCTTTTTGAGACAGGTATCACTATGCAGTTTAGGCTGGCCTTGAACTCACTTTGTAGCCCAGGCTGGCTTGGAATTTGCAGTGATTCTCCTGCCTCAGCTTCCCAAGTGCTGGGATTACAGACATGTGCCACCCCACCCAGTAGTAGGGGATTTAAAAGTCAGAGGCTTCAAAACACAAATTTCTTTCTTTTTTTTCCCCAAATAACATTATACAACTTTTTAGTAGAAATGTGTATTACTGACTTTATTTTTAGGAGATTAATTTACAAATTCTGTCTTAGTTACTTTTCTCTCATTGCTGAGACAAAATATCCAACACCCAAACTGAAAGGGAGGAAAGATTTATTTAGCTCATAGTTTGTAGAGCTTTCAGTCCATAATTGGCTGGCTCAAAGGTAGGGTGGCATCACAGAAGAGAAACAGTTCATGGCAGGCAGAAGGTAGCAAAGCAAGCAAGTGGGGGACCTTAGCAGCTCTTTCTGCCCCTTTTATATTCTACCTAGGCTACCAGGATTAGGGCACTGGCAAACCAATCAGTGGACTGACTTAGTAATCGCCCACCCTTAATCCTAGCATTGCACTATGAATCAATCCCACTGTCACACACTCTAGATCCAGCCGCCTCTGAAAAAGCCCCACCTATGACCACATGAGACTTTGGAGGGACATCCAGACGCAAGCCATGATAACAACTTATCCTTTCACTGGATATTTTTGGGTCATCCTCCTTTCACTGTAAACACAATTGCAGAGAAGTGAGGCACAGATAACACCTAAGTAGGAAAAATAAAAATAACACCAAAAATCCAGCTTTTATGTGTGTAACCTGTTGTTAGAATCATCTTAACCTCTACAAGAAAAGAAAAAAATCACCAAGAATTTCTTACTTTTTCTACTGGGCAACTGCCCTCCTCCTAGCTCAGCCACTGCTGTTGTTATTTCCATCTTTGTTAGAAAAAGATTGGAAGTCAGGCATGGTGGCACACGCCTGTAATCCCAGCACTCGGGAGGCTGAGGCAGGAAGATCATCATACATTCAAGACCAGCCTAAGCTACAAAGTGAGCTCAAGGCCAGCCTGAACTGCATAGCGAGACCCTGTCTCAAAAAGACAAACAGACAGACAGACAGACAGACAGACAGAAAGAAAGAAAGAAAGAAAAAGAGAAAGAGAGAGAGAGAAAGAAAATGATTGGAAAGGGCAGGATGTGTTTACCATGTGAAACTCCTAGAGCAGTTTCTTCATTTGTAGGTAAAATAGCATTCACTGTTTTTTGTTGGTAGTAGTGGTGGTTTATTGGTCAGTTAGTAGTTTTTATGCAATAAGATATAACAGAACTCTCAGAGCAAAATCTATTACCTTGGGCTTGCACCTAGGTGTTTCCAGGTCAGAGAATGAGGGAATTTATAGCTTTATACCCTGCCTGCTAAATTGTGCTGTATTTCCTAAAAAGACCCGGGAGTGGGGTGGGATGCAGAGACCTCTCATGATGGAAACTGTAATTTTGATGAACTCTGAATTATCACTATGACAACCATTTGCCCATAATCAACCCTAATAAAAGTAAACTTTTTAAAAGACCATTGTCATGCTTTTTTACATGTTGTTAAATATCAGTGAAAAGTTAAAAAATAAAAGTTTAGCAGACTCTTAGAAACCATAGTAGATCCGTCAGTGTAGAAACCCCTGAACCTCTGACGTGTGCCCCACACATGCACAGCTGACCCTGAGAGGGCCCTCAGCAGGGCAGGAGAGAGGTACTGGTAGTGAGAGTGAGGTGGGAACATCGTCACACACAGCCTAGCAGGCGAGAGGGTGGAGTGTGTAATGCACAGGGAGACGAAGACCAGAACTTGCCTCTCTTTCTATGCGGTGATTACCAGCCTCAGAAATAGGTTCAAGAAATGCTCTAACTAATGAAGCTGGGCTAGGATCTCCTTGCTATTTTCTTGGTACCTCAGGAGCAGATTGTGTGTCTCGTGATTTCTCTTACTGGGGCCTCTACTAAGGGGTAGCATGGGTTCTCATTTCATATTGCCTTTGTAAAGTGGGATCCACAAGCTGAAAAACACAAACATTAAAAATAAGTAGAGGGGAGTTTGACGTGTGCCTATGGCCCTAAGTGCTCAGGAGGTTGAGGCAGAAAGATCCCTTGAGTTTTGCACTAGCCTGGGAAACCTAGTGAGACCCTCTCTCTTGAATGAGTGAATAAATGAATGAAAAATGGAGAAATTGTACTAGTTATTGAATGCGAGAAAGCTACCAGTTATAAAAGGTGCCAGTGAGTACCTAAAGATCCTGCACTGCAAAAAAAAAAGACAGACTTTAAAATAACATTTTGAAAAGAAGCAATAGACATACTGTCCTGATTATACTCAATACTATAGCTATAATTAGGATTTGTGTTGTATAATGTGCACGTTTACATATGACATGCACAATTCAGCAAATTTTATAAAAAAATAACTTCAGAAACTATAATTCTAGATAAATGTGTAGAATACAGTTAAAAACTTATTGCCTTGTAATTTGTTTAAAATATGAATTATTGAAAGAAACAAAAGACAGGAAAGTAGGGAACTATACAAAAAACTATGGTTAAAAAAGTCATAGAAACCCAGCAAAATTAAATGTAAATCTGTTATTAAAATACAGAATTAAACCAAGTAAGCAGATATAAACAAAGGTTTTCACTGTGGTGTGTGTATGTGTGTGTGTGTACAGTATTGAGGCTTAAACCAGAGTCTCACACATATTAGGCAAGTGCTCTACCATGAACTACATCCCCAATTCTTTTTTATTGTATCCCTTTTTTAGTTGTTTCTATTTTATTTTATTTTACGTTATTTCATTAATTTTGCTGCTGGGGGTTGAACCCAGAGCATTATGTATGTTAAGCATATGCTTTAGCAGTAAGCTGTACCCCCAGCCCAAAGTTCATTAATTTCAACAGTTGTATATGGTCCTAGTATCCTAAAATGTCTACTGCCTTGTCCTTTACAGGAAATATTTGCTGGCCCCCACTCTGTCTTTTCGTGTAAACTGATATTTCACATAAATGGAATCAAACAATATATTGTCTTTTCAGCCTGGCTTCTGTCACTTAACATAATATTTTAGAGGGTCATCTGCATTGTAGTGTGTGTAAGAAATAGATTTTGTCATCTAACTTCAAATGTTTTTTTCTTTTATTTTAAAGAGAAAAAACTAAAAATGATACACAATTTCAAAACAAGATTAATAGTGAATTAATGATGGTTTTTATATTATATATTGTTATCTTCAAAGTAATTGTTCAGATTATCAGATATAGTTGATTAAAAAGGTTTTTTTTTTTTTGCAAAGTTGATAAAAAAAATTGGGCATTAACTATTCCTTTCAATAAACCACTAGAAGTTACTAGTACAATTATCTTAGCTATCTTGCATATATATATATATATATATATATATATATATATATATACACACACACACACACATATATATATACCCCTTCTTTCATTCTTTCCTCCTTTCCACCATCCCAGTTATTCTTTTCCCTTAAGCAGTTTCTTTCCCTTTCACTATACCTATTGTACCTTTTGGATCTTATTTATTCTTTCAGTTTCTTACACTAGGGAGAAAATACGATGTTTATACATGAGGGTGTAATTTATTTCACTTATGAGTATGGTCTCTAGTTGCATCCATTTACCTATAAAAGCCTCGAGTTTCTCTTTCTTTATAGCTGAGTAATACTCCATTGTATAAAAATACCACATCTTTTTTATCCATTCCTTGGATGCTGGGCATTTGGGTTTTCAAGATTCAGTTATGACAAATTGGGCTGCAATAAACATGGATGTACATATATCATTGTAGGACCATGTTTTCAATTCTGGAAAATTATCCAGAAGGGGAGTAGCTGGGTTGAACAGACCTTTAATCCTAGTATTTTGATGAATTTCCACACTGATTTCTACATTTATTGTACCAGTCTCCACTCCCACCACCGTGGAGAAGAGTTCCTTTTTCCTCCACAGCCTC